CCACCAGGCCCAGCTAATTTTTTTGTATTTTTAGTAGAAGTGGGGTTTCGCCGTGTTAGCCAGGCTGGTCTCGAACTTCTGACCTCAAGTGATCCATCTGCCTCAGCCATCCAAAGTGCTGGGATTTACAGGTGTAAAATCTGTAAATTTTACACACCCAGCCTTTTTTTTTTTTTTTTTTTTTAATTGAGACACAGTTTTGCTCTTATCGCCCAGGCTGGAGTGCATTGGTGTGATCTCAGCTCACTGCAACGTCTGCCTCCCAGGTTGAAGCAATTCTTCTGCCTCAGCCTCCCAGAGTAGCTGGAATTACAGGCACCCGCCACCAGGCCCAGCTAATTTTTTTGTATTTTTAGTNCCAGGTTGAAGCAATTCTTCTGCCTCAGCCTCCCAGAGTAGCTGGAATTACAGGCACCCGCCACCAGGCCCAGCTAATTTTTTTGTATTTTTAGTTGAGATGGGATTTTACCATGTTGGCCAGGCTGGTCTTGAACTCCTGACCTCAGGTAGTCCACCCAGCTCAGCCTCCCAAAGTGCTGGGATTACAGGTGTGAGCCACCGCACCCTGCCCGCCTTTCTTAATTTTTAAAGTGAACAATTTTAATTCTTTCATTGTATTTCCATCATACTCTTTTCTTGTGTAGTTCCTTAGATTACTCTGTAACCATGGGAATAAATTTGCTGCTCTTTCCAGTTATCTCAGAAAATCTTGTTACTTTTTATTCATGTTGAGTCCTACAGCCCAATTAATTAAACTTACACTCACATGATTGACAGTAAATTGCCAGACCTTCAGCTCTGAACTTGTATGAAAACAATTATCTCAGATCTTTTACTTTCAAACAACATATGATTCTTCCCTTTGAAACCTCATTGAGTAACTTCTGCTGTTTGCATTACTCCTAGATTGAAGGGACATACAGTGGTCATGTGACTCCCTTGATTTTGGGATGATTGTATATGTGACTTCTATATTGCCAGGATTCAAAATATGGGAATATTGTTTAATTTGCATTTCTGTTCTTTTTTTTTTTTTTTAATTTGGTTTTATTTTAATTGAATAGCATTCCATACTGGCAGTCTTTTTAAACTAAAGTCAGCATTAAAAGCACATGTTAGTTTACAGGAAAGTTGTAGTTAAGTGGTGGGTTTGTAGTCATAAAGTTTATGAGATAGGTATGAAAAAGAGAATTATTAAATAACAATTTTGTACAGGTGATGTTTATGTTTTAGATTTATTTGTCCTAGAAGACAGTATTTCTTGCAAACTGTAGAATTTTTTTGTATTTCAAAACTAATCTTAGTTTTTTAAAAGTTTACATGATATTATTTTTATAGTTTTCTTTTATTAAAACCAAACATAAGGCCATACTGCCCCCCGCAGAGTCAAAAGTAAAAGTAATACATGTACCGCAGATTCCCTGATCCTGTCAAACAGTTTTCTCATTTATGTAAAGTTGATAATTAGTAGAATGTTTATTACTGACTTAGCATGTATCTAATTCAACATTATTGAAATTTAGGGACTTTTATTATTTATTTTTAAAACCCAGGCTAAGTTATTTGTGGTATCAGTGAACAACCATCTTCCAATAGCAGCATTCCAACACAGGATGTCAGATGTCTCAATTCCAAGACCAAAGACTGACTATAAAATGATTTTTAAGTGCTTTGTCCATGTTTTCATTTCTGACCTCAAGGTGGCGACCACACCAAGCCTTGTGACTAGCAGTGCAGCAACTACCCTCACAGTCAGCCCTGTCCTCCCTCTGACCAGTGCTGGCGTGACAAATCTTTCAGTTACAGGTAAGCAGCTGCCAGGCCATGTACCTGCTGAGCACGTGGGAGGCCCATGATGGGTTATTATAAGAATCTTCCATTAAATTGTGAATTAAGGCTCTAACTAAAGATTGGTGTTGCTCATAAACATCAATTTTCTTTCAAGTAACTTCTCAAAAACCTTCAATAGCTGTGGCTTTTTGCATTCAGGAAAACTTCCAAGTTTATCAATTCATAGAAGGTTATTTCCAGTGTGTACCTGATCTCCCGCTAGTCTTTTGCCTACCCTACTCCCAGCACACAGGAGGGCTCCATCTGTACCTTTGTAAACATCCCTACACTGGAAATGTCCATCTTATCCTGCAGTTCTTGATCTGTTATTGATAAAACTACCCCAGCTTATATGTCAACTTTTCTTGGAAATATTATTTAGCTTCTCCAGGAAACTATTCATTTCCACATACCTGTATTATAGTTTTATTTTTACACATCTGTCTTTCCCGGTAGACTTTGTATTTCTCAGAAGATTGAGTATTCTTTTTGAACTCTTGATGCCTAGCTCAGTGCATGACATACTCACTATAAAATGAATGTTTTTTTTTCTTTGCCTTCCTTTAAGTAGCAAATTTTCCCAATAAATTTAAAATCACTTAGCACTGTCATTAGATGTTTTTTAGTGAAACATAGTGCATAAGACATGCTGTAATTATTCACCAGGTTGGTTATTTACTGGTAAATCATTGGGTAGATTCATGATATTTCATAATGAAGCTTGATTTAACCTAGAGGTGAGGACTTTTATTTTTCTTACTTTTGTTTTAAGTTTATAACACTTCCTTGGCTCTAGGACCTAACCATGATGTAAAAAATGAATAAATGGCTTTCTTTATGCTATATTAAATTTCTACATTATTGGAATACATTATTAAAAAATGTTATTTATTTTTTTCTGCATCCAACCGTCCATTAATTTTTGCTTATTTTAAAAAGTACTTCTTGATCTCTTCTGGATGTTGGACCTCTTTAAGAATTAATGAACGCTACAGACTTTTCCTTCCACTAAATAGACATATGCACAAGTTTTAGTAAAATTTAAGGAGGTTTATAAATGATCACTCCTGTCAACCCCCACCCCAAGGCTATTTGTGGATACCTACAGATTCCAGTTTTAAGAACCTTCATTCAAGAATATATTTAAGAACCTTGGTTAGGCATATATATAATATTGAGTGCATCCTCTTAAAAAGCAAACTGTTAGTGATTGATTGGCACTGTGTCAGGCACCAAGAACATGAAGTTTTGTCTCTGAGGACCTTGTTGTCAAAATTGACTGCCAGTCACCTGGTAAATTATAAACTGAATCTTACTTTCCCAACAAATTATATTGCTTTAGGTCTAAAAATACCTGTTTTTTACAGAAAAAATTCTAATAGTTTACACATTAAGAAAAAATTGCTTTGCAGTTTTCTTAAAATATGGGAAAAAATAATTTTAGAAAGATTTTAATACTCAGTGCTAGCTAAAAATTTGCATCAGTTTTTGATATTTCTTATCAATCACATTTTCTTGAGCTCAGTTACTTAACCTATTTATGTGGATCTAATTGTGATTGTTTTCTGACATGTTGATAATGTTTCCTGGAATGAATTTTTTTTTTAATTATTAAGAAACAACATTATTAGGAAATTTAAACAGGAAAAAACAATCACAAGTACTATTTTTATTTTCTCTTTAAATCTTTTTAATGTACATGTATGTACAATTTCAGTAGTATTTGTCCGGTACAATATTTGATTGCAGCCTTATGATACTCTAAGCAGAGGACTCAGCTAGGTTGTGCCTGGACACCTGACCCAGAAAAACTATGAGATGATAAACTGTGTTGTTTTAAGCTGCTGAATTTGTGTCATTGCTCCTTGAAAGAGAAGAAGAGTCAGTGTCAAGTGGATTGTCTTTCTCACTCTTGTCAGCCATTGCTCAAAACCATGCCTGCTTTTAAATTTTTTTCCTCTTTGGACTATAACTTTCAGGTGCAACCTCTTTTCCTCTGACATTTTTATACTGCCTTCTTTTTTTCTAGAAACTGTTGAGAAAAGTAGCGTGTTTCTTTATCATGTTATTTATTAAAGACAGCCAATATCTTAATCATACAACTTATCTAATGCAGTCTATTTTGTTCCTGAAGACTTTGTTCTTGGGATTTCTATGATTGTTTATTTTAATTTGTTTTCATTGTTTTCCTGAGTTAGATCCAATGTTTCTCAGATCCCTTGCCTTCCTCTTTGATTCCTTTTTGTCTGGAGCATGTACTCAAGTAATTTTATTTAGAAAGGTTACATGGGAGGTAAAATTTCTAAATACATGTATAACTGAGAAGTTTTTATTTTGCCCTCACAGTTTTTTTGGAGTTTTTCCAATTACAAAATTATTTTTCCTTTGAATTTTATTGTGTTTTAAGCATCAAGTGTTGCTGATGAAAAGTCTGATTTCAATCTCTTTTTTCTTGTTTTATCTCTCTCTAAACCTTAAGGATCTTTTTATCTTTACTCTTCTAAAATTTCATTATGAGGTTTCAAAGAAGGGGCCTTTTAAAACTTGCCCTTGTTGGCCTTCAGTGAGCATTTTCAATGTGAATTAATGTCTTTCTTGAACTCTGGTAATTTATCTTTTTTTTAAGTTAGGGTTTTTTGGCATTCACTTTGTTTATTCATTTTGTGCCATTTGTTGTGTGCTGTTGGCTTTTTCATTGTCTGGTGATTTTTGGTTACTTATTCATAGTAATTAACACAAGATTACATTACTTAATATCAGTAGCTTGTAAGGGTTTTTCCTGACATTTTGTAGCTTCTGTTACTCAAGAGTCCTTCCCCCTGAATGGAAGGGCTAGTGGTGAGCTGTGAATGTGAATAAAGAACTGCCAAACTTTATTTCATCATATGAACAGGAAGCAGGCAGGCAGGCGAGGCTTTCCCTCATACTTTTTCAAAATGAGGGGTATCTTTATTCATACATGCAAGTTTCTACACTAGAATCCTTAGCCTTTTAAAAGATTTCATCACCAAAAAAGTTACCTTTTTTTTTTTTTTNTTTTTTAAACGGAGTCTCACATCATCACCCAGGCTGGAGTGCAATCTCAATGCAACCTCTGCCTCCTGGGTTCCAGCGATTCTTGTGCCTCAGCCTCCCTAGCAGCTGAGATTACAGGCACCTGCCACCATGCCCAGCAATTTTTTGTGTGTTTTTAGTAGAGGCAGGGTTTCACCATGTGGTCAGGCTGGTCTTGAACTCCTGGCCTTATGTGATCTGCCCACCTCAGCCTCCCAGAGCACTGGGATTACAGGTGTGAGCCATTGCACCCAGCCAAAAATGTTATCTTTTACATAAATTTTTTTCCAATGTGTCATACCTGTGTAAGTCTGCACTGTTTGTTTTGATTGGTCTGGGTTTTCAAAAATAATGTATTGAAAGTATTTTATACCTCATAGAATTATCACATCAATAAATTTTTAGATGCCTTTTTTTTTTTTTAAATCTTTTCGAGTTTTCTATCTTTAGAAAATGCCACTTAGATTTTGCTTCCCTCAGTGTCTTCAGGGGATTGGTTTGAAACCCCACCAGATACCAAAATCCACAGGTGCTCAAGTCACTTATTTAAAATAGCAACCTGGCTCAGTGGCTCATGCCTGTAATTTCAGCACTTTGGGAGGCTGAGGCAGGAGAATCACTTGAGTTCCTCAGTAGTTCAAGACCAGCAAGACCCCATCTCTACAAAATATACAAAAATTAGGCAGGTGTGGTGGTGCATGCCTGTAGCCTCAGCTACTTGGGAGGCTGAGGTGGAAAGATTACTTGAGCCTGAGAGGTTGAAGCTGCAGGGAGCTGTGGTCATGCCACTGCAGTCCAGCCTAGGTGGCACAGTGAGACCCTGTCTCAAAAAAAAAATATTTAAAAAAGAAAATTAAAATAGCATAGTATTTATATATAACCTACTCACATCCTCTTGTATACTTTAAATCATCTCTATAGATTACTTACAATACCTAGCACAGCAGAAATACTATATAAATAGTTGTTATAATGTATTGTTCTAAAATTTATATTATTTTTTATTGTATTAATTTTTAAAAAATATTTTTGATACACAGTTGGTCAAATCCACAGATGTGGAACATGTGGATTCAGAGAACCAACTGTATATAGTTGATTATATCCTAGAACATAGTGAATTTTACTAAAGTAGGTTTCAGCTAGTTTAGGCAGCCTATTTTTGTAATATGCTAGTAACACTTACTGATAACTAAAATAAGGGCCTATTCTACTGTCTTTTATAGATAGGATCAGAATTACAGCTCACTGGGGACAGTTGGCATCTCCTGCTTTGTAAAAGGTTATCTATCCTCTGAGAGCTGTGTGAGCCATTTCTACTTTAGGCAAACTGACTTAACATTCTTTAAGTCACACTTGCCTCTGGAACCTCACAGGCCTCACTTCCAGACCTATTTTAGACCTATGGTATCCGATGTGGCATCCACCAGCCACATATGGCTTTTGAACATTTAAAATGTGGCTAGTTCAACTTTAGGTGTACTGTAATCATAAAATAAGATACCGTTTTCAGCTCAGAAAGGAAAATGGCAAAATAACTTGATATTTAAATTTTTATTTTTTCTTTTTCTTTTTTATAAGCAGACCCATTTAGTATCCATCAATATTGAAATATTGACTTCATCTTGAAATGCTAATATTTTGGGTACATTAGGTTAAATATAATATATAACTGAAATTAATTTTACTTTTTTCTTACTATTTTTTTTTTTTTTTTTGGCAGAGTCTCTGTTGCCCAGGATGGAGTGCAGTGACGTGATCTCTGCTCACTGCAACCTCTGCCCCTTAGGCTCAAGCAGTTTTCCTGTGCCAGCCTCCTGAGTAACTGGAATTGCAGGCACCCACCACCACACCTGGCTAATTTTTGTATTTTTAATAGAGACAGGGTTTCACCATGTTGGCCAGGCTGGTTTCGAACTCCTGACCTCAAATGATTCATCTGCCTTGGCCTCCCAAAATACTGGGATCACAGGCATGAGCCACTGCACCCGGCCTTTTCTTACTATTTTCAGTGGAACTACTATAAATTTTTAAATTACATATGTCTTGAATTTCTGTCAGACAACACTGATCTCAAACATTAAATAATCCCAGCAAATGTGTTTTAGTGTTTAGTAATGATATGTTTAATGTCAGTTAGTCATTTACATCCAAATGTTTGTTCTCCTTAAACCAAAAGCGTATTTAGGCACTCTTTTTCTAAGACCTCACAAATGATAATTTCTTTTATTTATTTTTTATTTATTTATTTATTTTTGAGATGGAGTTTTGCCCAGGCTGGAGTGCAGTGGCGCGATCTCGGCTCACTGCAACCTCCACCTCCCAGGTTCAAGCAATTCTGCCTCAGCCTCCCGAGTAACTGGGTCCACAGGTGCACACCACCATGCCCAGCTAATTTTTGTATTTTTAGTAGAGACAGGGTTTCACCATGTTAGCCAGGATGGTCTTGATCTCTTGACCTTGTGATCTGTCTGCCTCAGCTTCCCAAAGTTGTGGGACTACAGGCATGAGCCACCATGCCTGGCCTACACATAATAATTTCTTACATCTTCATTTTTATGCTAGCTTTTATGAGATTCATAGTATCATTGTATGGTTTTGTGTTTTTTGTTTGTTTGTTTGTTTGTTTACCACAATGGACTTTTTGAGAGCTAATTTTTATTACAGAATAGTTACTTGTTTGCATGTCATAGAGAAGGCACATAGTCATTTTTATACTATGTTGTTGATACTGAATTCTTAGAAAAGTACGTAACTTTCTGTTTTTCTTCTTGTTTTGATTTTTCTGAGGAGACCACTAAGGAGATTTCTGAATGAAAAAGAGCTTTACAGAAGGTTTTCTTCTTGTTTTTTTTTCTTCCCCAGAGAAGTTGTATTCCATAATTAGAGCTTCTATGATTCTTTCTTTTGTTTCTTGAATAGGAAATAGGCAATGGAAAACTTTTCTGTTTCTTTCATTGCTCATATCTCTTAAAGTGTAGGGTTCATAGCTGTGATTCTAAAATGTTTGTTGTTGTAATTTTCATAGAAGCACTAAACTAGGTTATTAAGGGCAAATTTTCAAGGGCAAATTTACTAGGTGGTAGGTTAATTATTCCATTGATTATAGAGTTTGGCTGAGTAAACCCACCATTCTTCCAAAACCATTTACAAAAGGTCATCTTCTAATCTGGTCTTTTCAGGCACTTCAGACACCACCTCCAACAATACGGCAACCGTGATTTCCACAGCACCTCCGGCTTCCTCAGCAGTCACATCCCCCTCTCTGAGTCCCTCCCCTTCTGCCTCAGCCTCCACCTCCGAGGCATCCAGTGCCAGTGAGACCAGCACAACACAGACCACCTCCACTCCTTTGTCCTCCCCTCTTGGGACCAGCCAGGTGATGGTGACAGCATCAGGTTTGCAAACAGCAGCAGCTGCTGCCCTTCAAGGAGCTGCACAGTTGCCAGCAAATGCTAGTCTTGCTGCCATGGCAGCTGCTGCAGGACTAAACCCAGGCCTGATGGCACCCTCACAGTTTGCGGCTGGGTAAGGCGCTTTCTCATCTCATTCACATCTGAGGAGGAGGTCATCCCTGGAATTACTCGTAGGGGAGACTTTGCATCACCTGACTTAAGTAGGGGGAAAATGTCTTTAAAGCAATAATCTCTTTGAAATGGACTGTTTTGTGATCATACAAGGACCTTGATTATAGTTGAGTTTAAGTTTCTTAACACCCTGGGAAAGGGAGTAGTCATAACTGTTTCAGAGAAAGACCCCAAATACCAGGTCATTGATTACCTTGGTGACAGGGCCAAGAAGAAAGCCCAGAACTCTTGACTCGTATTTTCCCCATTACGCTCGCTTAACTGCCTACTTCCTAATTCTCAAGCATAGATAAGAGATGTTGTAATGAGAGTCTCAATTTTGTACTGTTATTGTCGAACACTTTTTCTCTAGAATGTTTCTTTCATTTTGGAAAAAAGTAAGTCATTCGAAATGACTTTAAAAGTCTTACATTTTGTGCTGATCATAACCTCATTTGTATGAGTAAGCATCAAGGAAAGCAGTAACTGTGAAGCACTAACCAAACCGTAGAAGAGTAAAGAAAAATAAATATTTCCACCTATTTCCCCAGTTGGATTTTCCTTTTGTAAGTTCTTTTTGGTGTGTTGTCAAAATGAGACCTCCATCTGCATGGTAATAAAATGACTCCTCTTTTGGACTTGCAGAGGTGCCTTACTCAGTCTGAATCCAGGGACCCTGAGCGGTGCTCTCAGCCCAGCTCTAATGAGCAACAGTACACTGGCAACTATTCAAGGTCAGTAGAAGCTTTCTGCTTACTTTGGTGGCGTGCGTGCGTGTGTGTGTGTGTGTGTGAGAGAGAGAGAGAGAGAGAGAGAGAGAGAGATGGAGGAAGTCTGCTTTGCCAGAAGTAAATGATAGGGAAAGAGTCAAAATACTGACTAACTTATATTTGAGGACCAAGAAAATGTCCTTTAAAAAAGCTTTGTAAGAGAAGTATAGGTGTTAGTATGTCAGTAAAAGCAGGAAAGATACCTAGTTTAGTATATGGTAAGAAACCAGAACTTTTATGCTGATATTGATCTTATGTGAATAAACTTGAAGCCAGATTTTTCCCCCTGATAAGTTTATCCCAAGTATTAATCTAAAACCCATCTCAGGCAAACTTGATCAAGTAAGGCTCTCCAATCTCCATCCCTACCCCTGAGAAAGCTGTGCATGGGAAAGTCATATAATAAATGAACATTGGAACATATCAGGTGGACCTCAGGGGTGCTTTTAGTTCTTGTTAGGGTCTGCCCTTTTTATATCCCTGTTTGTGTAGAACATATATTCTCTTGGATTATAATGTCTCTTTTCCCAGTTCAGCTGGGTTCCTTTTACCTTTTAGCATGTTACCCAGGGCAATATTCATTCTATATCGTGAAAGGTTCCCCTTGTTTTGTACCTAAGCTTTCTGTCTAAAAATGTTTACTGTTACGTGATTCTGGGAGACAATTTGAGAGACATCACTAATTAATTGTAGAATTTTTTTTTCTTAAAATTATAATAGTTTTGATGAGAGGCTGAGGCAGGAGGATCACTCAAGGCCATGAGTTTAAGGCTGCAGCGTGCTGTGATATTGCCTGTGAATAGCTTTGTACTGCAGCTTGGTTGACATAGTGAGACCCTGTTTCTTTAAAAAAAAAAAAAAAGTGGTTTGTGCATAAATGAGAGTTTTCAGGGCCAAAAAATAGCTATTAGCCAACCTAAATTAAGGTTAGTATTTCACAGGTGATATCTCTAACAGTGTACTATAGAGAATGTTAAATTACAGACAGAACCAAACCATGGCCTAGATTACCTTACATCATACTGACTTTCTGATTGACTAAATCATACCTGAATTGGTTAGCTCTAAAGCTTTTGTTATATAATCATTTTTTTTTTAATAGAATTTGTGGTAAATCACTTTTTCTTCTGCTTTATTGAATGTTTCTGTGCTGTGGGGATACTACCAAGGCCACATAAATTTCCCAGGGCATGATTGACACTCTGAAAAGATCCAGAACTGGTCTGTGACCCTAAGTTTGAAATCTCAGAAGAAGTTTAAGCTGCACTAAGTCTCACTGTTCTGTACTATTTGTATGAGCATGGCCAAAGTCAGAGGCCTTCCCTTCAGCTGTATATTATGTAAGAAATCAACCAACCGTGTAATGCCATTAGAAAATCCCTCAAATCTACATGTTGGAGTGAGGTTATATGGATGGGGAGATTTAGGAATGTTGTGGGACAGCAGGATGAGATGTTAAATGATAGTCTCAATGATTCTAAATAAAATGCTGATAATGCCTTCTTTGGGGAAGCAACAGCATCATAGAAAATTTCTCACCTATTAAAGCACATCCTAGCTTTAGATCACTTATGTGGGCAACCTACATCATTATGTCTGATTTCCTGCTACAATAGATTCGTCATTCTCCTTTGCGCAAGTCATAGAAATCAAATGTTTAGCCTCAGGAAGTGAGAAATTATAACTTTTACTTTATTTGGTGATATATAATTTATTTTAGAACTAAAGCCTTTTTACAAGATAGTTTGCATCTTATAATATGAAGCAGTGGTCCTCAACCTTTTTGGCACCATGGACCGATTTTGTGGAAGACGATTTTTCCACAGCCACGGTGCAGGGGGATGGTTTCTGGCTAACACTGTTTCCACCTCAGATGGTGCTCCTATAAGAATCTAATGCCACCACTGATCTAACAGGAGGCGGGCCTCAGGCTGTAATGCACACACCATTTACCTCCTATTTTTAATGCTTTAGTCACTTTAGCTAGTTTGTCTTTTGAACAGAAGTAGTTTAAAATCGGCAGGAGGTAGTTAAAAATAAAGACAAAATTATTGGATTTATTAAATACGTCTAGGTAAATGAAATAAACTTGAGATTTCAAGATGGAAACATGACTCCAATTCATTAGACAGGTATTAATTCTGTCTTCTACCCCTGCTTGTGCTCATTAAATTAGACATTTCAGTCTTTTAGGCTCTTCAAAATTATAAATAAACTGCAGTTAGTATCAATATAGCACTGTGATTGGGGAAAAATTTCAGTGAAAGGCTACACTCTTTCCCTAGTGAATGTGATAGACTTTCGATGTGTTATTTGGCGTCCCCAGGATGATATTAATGTTCTCATTCCTGCCTGTTGTTTGGTGTTTTTGTCTGTAGCTCTTGCTTCTGGTGGCTCTCTTCCAATAACATCGCTCGATGCAACTGGGAACCTGGTATTTGCCAATGCAGGAGGAGCCCCCAACATTGTGACTGCCCCTCTGTTCCTGAACCCTCAGAACCTCTCTCTGCTCACCAGCAACCCTGTTAGCTTGGTCTCTGCTGCCGCAGCCTCTGCAGGGAACTCTGCACCTGTAGCCAGCCTTCACGCCACCTCCACCTCCGCTGAGTCCATCCAGAACTCTCTCTTCACAGTGGCCTCTGCCAGCGGGGCTGCATCCACCACCACCACCGCCTCCAAGGCACAGTGAGCTGGGCGGGGCTGGGCTGCCAGAAGCCTTTTTCACTCTGCAGTGTGATTGGACTGCCAGCCAGGTTAATAAACTGAAAAATGTGATTGGCTTCCTCTCACCGTGTTGTGAGGGCAAAGGAGAGAAGGGAGAAAAATAAAACACATACCAGAAAAAAAAAGAAAGGATGGAGATGGGACATTTGCCTAATTTTGTAATAAAACACTGTCTTTTCAGGATTGCTTCATGGATTGGAGAACTTTCTAA